ACACACACACACACACACACACACACACACACACACACACACACACACACACACATACATACCTATATACCCTCAACCCTATATGAACTGATAGCGCACACGTTATGAAAGCGGAAACGGAAACGCGTTGACGGCCGTGCAAATTTACCGTAGCATAGCACAACACAGCACCCAATTGATGCTGCCTGACTGGATACTGCTCTCTCTCTCTCTCTCTCTCTGCCGCTTTGCTGCCTGCTACATGCTGCCTGCTGCATGCCACATGCTGCATGCGGGCTCTTTAGCAATCTATTTTCCGTGCCAAAACTATTTTTGCTCTTGCAGCTAACATTTCTCATACGTTAAACCCTTTGCTTTATGTTTATTCCCTCGCTATCCAAAATGGCAGTTGCTTTGGCCGCTGCAGCGCTTTAAGGACTCACGCGGGCAGCACCTGCTGCAGCGCGAGGCGCTCAATTATGGCCTCGATTTAGAGCCGCTGTCGCCGTCGCCGTTGCCGCCGCAGCGCTACGAACAGGACGAACCCGTCCGCGTGCTGACCAAAGAGCTGCACCACACCGAGGCAGGTCGCATAGTCGCCGCGCCCGGCCAGCATCTGCAGCTGCCGCACCTGGAACAACACCGCGAGCCCCTCGAGGAGGAGGTGGACAATGTGCCGCCGCATATGCCACACGCACGCTGGGAAACGGCCACGACAGTGACACTGCCGCCCAGCAGCACCTCGAGCAGCAGTCGGGCGAGCAGCAGGGATGCGGAGGAGGCGCAACAGGACTACGTCTACAGCTGGCAGGTGGGCGAGTGGTCCAAGTGCTCGCAGGAATGTGGAGCCGACGGCAGCGGACTGCAGGTGAGTGCAAAAAAAAAAAAACTAGAGAAAGAGCAAGGGAAGAGGACGTAAAAATTATAATAATAATTAGTATTAGAATTATTATTATGGAAGTGAAAAGGGGAAATAGGAAGCCGGGAAAAGAATGTGTCTTTATTAAGTATTTATTAGTTCCACGAATATATATGGAATCATGCTGAAATCTAAGTAAAATCTAGCAATTAACTGATCAATAAACATTTCACTTGAAGCGGACTAAGAAAAGCTAAGGCAAAGCTAGACTTTGGGTGGGACTTGAAAAGTTAGAAAAATTGATTTATAATCTAATAAATAATTAGATTTATTATGGAACAGTATAACTGAAGAAGAAGTAGGAGTGAATACATATTATAATCAATCTAAGTGGCTTAGGCAGGAGTGGGAGCTATCCCATACGCAAAAGGGTCTAAATACTTCGTCGATATAAATTCAATATTTTCACACTTTTCATACTCCAATAAATGGTTTTCCCTATATAAATCAAGCGGTATAGCCAGTAATAAACGATAGATTAAAAACTTGCATTCATAAAATTGTGTTGCTTTGGCATTGATGTAATCTAACCTCATATAATTATTGTAAAAATCAGATCGACCACCAAAAAAAAATGGAATATTTTTTAGCTTTGACTGCATGACAGCTGATTTTTGAATGGCATTTCGAGTATCGATTGCCATCAATAACTGACAATTATTCGCTCCATTAAAAGGATTTGGCTGGAAGACAGAAATGCATTATTAATTTGATAAGCCAAAAGCCACATACTATAAATGATTAAATAAGCTGCAATATATACAAAATATAAAAACAGTAGAAGATATGAATGAACTCATTTTTTTATACTAAAGTGAACTTAATAACATTATGAATGATATCATCATATCAGAAACTTATTTGCTTTTTCCATACAGTCAACTGACATCAATATATTCTTCCCCTCCCCAGTTTAATGCCTTCTATGCTTCCTTAAAAATGTTAAATTGAATTCTACAAATCAAATACATCTACTCTTCTCACTTCATAGGCCAGCATAACTAATAAAGTTCTCGTCTGTCAGCACAAATAACTGTGAACTCTACCCGCCGTAGTCGCTTAACTCTTTCATCTCTATATAACAAATTTGATTTTGAGCTATTCCTAATCTAAATGTCTTCAGTTAACTGAAGTCAAATATTTGCTACAACAATTCTCTAAAGTTTCCATTCAAACAAGCTTTACCAAATTAGCTTTGTTACGGGGCTGGGAAAAAAGAAAACAGAAGAGGCAGAAATAGCAGCACAAGCGGACACAAAAGTAGAGGCAGTAGAAGTAGAAGCAGAACTCCCCAAGCCACAGACAACACTTATATAATAATTAGCCGAATGCTTGGCTTTGCCTTGGCTGCACAGATTCCACTTTTGCAAGCCCAAAACCCAAGTCAGGGTCTGTCAAAGGACGAAGTAGATGTAGAAGTGAAGAAGAGATTGAGGACGAGTTTAAATATTTTAGCAGGCAGGGTTGGCTGGCCGCCCGTCGTCCATTGTTTTATGTGTGGCAGTAAAGGCAGTGATAGAGAGAGAGAGAGAGAGAGAGAGAGAGCTACAGTGGTAGCGGGGGAGTGTAAGAGAAGAAAACTAACAGTAAACATTGTTTCTTTTGCCACCTCCATAGCGTCGCACGCTGAGCTGCCGGCGTGTGGCAACAAAGAAGACGACGATGTCAAATGCCACCGATGGCAGCGTCGTCGACATCGTCGAGAATTCGCAATGCCGTAGCCAGGGGCTGGACATGCCCGACACGTTCCAGAGCTGCGGCAACGAGCCCTGTCCGCACTGGACCAAGGGCGAGTGGACTCTCTGCCATCAGTCGCGCTGCCATGGCCGCAACACGGCCGTGCAACGGCGCGAGGTCCACTGCCGGTATCAGAACGGCAGCGCGGGCACCGCCTGCGATGAGTACGAGAGGCCGGCGGCACGGCAGGAATGCTACAACGAGCGCTGCAAGGGCGTCTGGCGTGTGGAGCCCTGGTCTGAGGTAGGTGGTAATACAACAGCCACAGTCATGGCTATGGCGACGACTATGGCTATGGCTTTGGCTATGGTAGTGCATCTTTTATTAATGTCAATTGCAATGGCTCTCTGCTTTGCTTTCTGTTCGTTCACACAGTGCAATGCGCCCTGCGGTCGTCAGGGCATCAAATTCCGCATTCTGCAGTGCGTCTGGTATGGCAGCCGTCGACCCGCGGGCAATGTGTGCAAGCATCAGCCACGCCCCGCGGTCATGAAGGTGTGCAAAAGTCCGCCATGCCAGTCCAAGGGTAAGTTTCACGCTCCACACTCAATATCCATATCCATAATCGAATTAATCCTGAACAATATATATGTATGTGTGTATGTATTTCATAAACAGTGGGCAAAACTTCGGCTGGCTGTCGTGATAGTTCTCGCTATTGTCGCAATGCCCGCTCAATGGGCCTCTGTCGACTGCATCGCTATAAGGAGAAGTGCTGCGGCTCCTGTCAGCCCCAACTCGAAGAGCTTCAGTAGATCGGACACAGCTTAGAAGTGGACGAAAATCAAGCAAGCAATTACTATAAGTACATGGAGAGTACACTCACTGAACGATATGAATATGAATGAATGAGTCAATGAATGAATCAATGAATCGCTGAATCTATGAATTATTGAGTTATTTATTTATTGAATCATTGAATCAATTCATTTATGAGTCACTAAATCAATGAATTACTGAATCAATGAGTAATTAAGTAATTGAATCTATGAGGAAGGAATCATGAATCAATGAAACTATGAATCAATTATTCAACGAATCAATAACTCCATGAATCTATTATGACTAAGGAAGAGTGCAATTTAGTTGACTTCGATGTGTAAGGCATAGTTAAATGTAATTGGAAGACGCAGATCAATTCGAGTAAAAAGAATGCACAGTAATTTCGTTGAAATTTTTGTCTACATTAATAAGCAACAAATACACAGATGCATCAACATACATATATCTACAGATAATGATAAGCATATACATACATATACATATACAGATATATATACAAATATATGATGTGAGCAAATATTTACAACTATTCGTAAACTAAGCGCAAATTATGTTTAATTATGCCCTGATGCGATCGAAAGCAAAGATCCCCTAAGATAACATAATAATGATATTTCATTATTATTATTATTATAATAGATAAATGTAATTTGTAGCATTTGATTTGCCAGCATTTGATTGGCGGCTTTGCTTTAAGCAATTCCAGAATTAGATACTAAAAGTATTTTGAACAATATTGCAAATAAATACTGAAATACGCAACCAAATCCCAAACAGTTGCAAATTAACAAAATTAAAGCAAAATGAATAAAAAACAGTTAATAAATAAATATAGGGCGGCGCTACTTGGGAAACCGTGGAAAGTCAAGCAACAATTTGCAGTATAGATAACATAACAATCGATATAATGTTAGTGAGCTAATGGAAAATACGAAGACGAAAAAAAAAACTAATACTAATAAATAATAAATAATAAAAATAGAAGCGAAAAGTAAATGTTCCAAACGCCCCCCAAAACACTTGCCATTTGTAACTGTAACTTCAAATAAGACACAAAACTAGCCCAGCAAAATATTGAATGAAATTAATGCACTGTTACCTAATGTGGAAAAACATATTATACAAAAACATAAAATTATTTGTGTATGTATATTTGGTAGGTATTTACCAATATATATACATATATATGTAAAAGTATACAAACTAAATACATTATGTAAATATTCTAGCAAATACTAAAAGCTAAGTTCAGCTAATTTTGTGTTGGAGATCAATTCTGATTAGAAAAATATGTTAATTAACTTATGAAAAACGAAAAACAATTTTCCTCTTGCGCATTTAAAAACAACAGAAAAACAACAAAAGCTATTGAAAATTCAAAAGTCCAGTTATTGTAAATAAACATTTTATTTACACGCATAAATGTTATTAAATATAAATACATAAATATATTTATATAAATATAAAATATTTGTAATTAGTTTATATTTTGTATTAAAAAAAAAAACAACTTGTTTTATATAAATAAATAAATATATATGTATCAACTAAATGCAAAGATAAAACGTAAATCCGTTAGCTGCTAACTAAAATTTATAAACCAAAAAAAAAAAAAAAGAAAAGGAAAAACCAACAAAAACAAATGTTTAAAGCAAACGAAACGAAAATCGAATATTTAACTTGTTAAGTAAAGATTATAAAAAAAAAATTACATACACAAACTAATTAAAATGCATACCATAACCAATGTTAAACATACACAAACATAAAACAACACACACACACAAATACACATGACAATTTACATACACATAAAATAGCATTATATAAAGATAAATAAAATAAAATAAAATAAAACAATGCAAAACATAATATATTAATTATTTTAAGCAACAGCAAAACATTGTAAAATGTAATACGAAAGCAACTGCTTAAATATTGTAAGAACCCGAAAAAAACAAGCAAAGTGAAATAACAGAATAAATATTGTTTAAAAATCTTGCAAGAATATGAATTTAGATCTGTTACAGTGTATGTGAGTACGTGTGTGTGAGTAAGCCCTACAGCACTCTCTCACTAGAGTGCCTCCTTGCGCTCATTGCCAGATTCCACTCAAGAAGAGGAGCACAAGACAACACAACAAAGAATGAACAAGAATCTTGTATCGTGATTGAGAGCCGAATCTAGTACAGTAGTGGAAGGTAAATTTAGCTC